TAGAATCTGTGTTGGGGAATCTGATGGCAACTCTGGTTGCCAAGTCTTTTTGGCTCTCCTACACACTGGGACACAAGTCTTTGTGATGCTGGAAGTCAAGTGCCCACAGGTGTGGCCAAAAAATTATTTTGACTGGATGCAGAAATATCCCTCAAATTGGACAACAGATTGATATAACTTTGTAGGTGGGTCCTTTTGAGCCAATACACACCCAGTGGTTGTAACTGATACTGCTGGATGTATTGCGGAAATAGACGTTTCAAGTTCCCAGCAGCACACACGCTTTAGATCGGCAGAATGGGTTCTAAACGTGGCAATTCCACAGGACAGCTCCTATCTGGAGAATGTAATTATGAGGTTGGGGCCGGGGGAGAAGAGACTTGGACAAACCGACATGTAACACATAATTACCCCTTTTTCACTCTTCTTTTTTCCTTCCCGTGCCTACCTCTGGGAAACTGGGCTACTGGTATTTGCAAGCAGCAAAAAAGAGTGGGGCTGACGGCTTGAAGACTTGGATCTGGGTCTTCTTTTACTACCCAATTATGCTTGCTGGATGTGGAAGGCTATGGATATCAGTAATGCTGATCATGGATATGAGGTGACAACTGCTATGGTAGTCTTGGCATGGCTCATGTCAGGGAATGAGAGAGATGTTCTAGAATGGAACAGTGTATAAAACGAAAAAGCCGCTGTGCCATCTAGGGATGAATCTGTCCAGATGGTGTTGAGCAGACATGGTGAGGACTGGAAAAAGGGTGAAGGGTTTGCTGCAGGGACTCATCACACCATTCATATCGCGTGAAAAGAGAACAGCAATCCCGTTAGGGAAGGAACCCCTCAGACCCCAGGAGGACCATTAACCTCTCTTGCATTAAATATTTCTGAAGGATGCACAGGAAGAGGATGAAGATGGAAAGATGTTTTTACTCTTGTACCTATAGAATTTTGAACCGTGTGACTATTTTACATATTTAAAAAACTATTAAAAGTCTAAAAATAAAAACGAAGTTGCACCTAAATCTGCAATTAAAATTTAGAAACTAACATTACCAGCCATAAAGCTAGAGTGCTCTCTAGTAAGGACCTAGAATATAAAAACACAATAAAAACAAGTTAGGTTTTCTTTTAACAGTGATATACACGTTAATTCATACAATTTTCTAGTATGAAAATGTTTTTAGGAATGTATATATACAAGAATAGTGCAAGCTGTTAAATTAACTTTATTTTTATTTAACATAATTGATGAAATCAACAAATATATTTTAATGTAACAAAAACATTATAATTGATGTTTACCATTTACACTTTAAAGGATTTCAGTAATTATTTTAGTATAGCCAAAAACTTAACATTTGAATTTTACCCATTTTTGAAATGTAAAATGCACAATTATATGTACCCATACTACATATCTTACAATTTTAACATTTTAGCTAAAACATGAGTCTGCAGGTAAAAGCAAGAGTTCTCCTATACCTAAGACACATAAAATGTATTATTAATAAAGTGCCACTGGATTAGACAATGCCATTTCAACTATTTCCTTTTTGGAGAAGAGGACAAAAGTACATAATAGTATAGAACTAGTCATTTTCATTATAGTAGTATAGAACTAGTAATTTGCATCATAGTTTGTAACAAGCACAAGAGTGCTTATTTATAGATATTAACCACAATAAAGAATTCCTCTCAAGAAAGATCACAACTATGACTTATGACAAGCTGTACAGTCATCACTGAAAATAGTTTGGTGTCTAGAGTTTTTATAAAGTGCAATCTTGAACTAAGATAAACCTAAGTCTACCATTACCAAGAAATAGTTTTAGGAACTTTATAGAAATAAAAGAACCTTTCTTTCAGTTGTAAAATAGGTTTCAACCTGATCTAAGGAGAGAGGGATAGTGGTGGATGGTAAAGTTTGGCAACAAGTATGTTTCTAGCAGGTGAACGCCTAATGTGTGTTGCTATAAGACACATCTTTCACACATGGAAAACGTGCTAATTAGATGGATACAGCACTTTTCAGGCACTTGACCTCACATGGTAGTTAAGTTGATGTTCAGATGTTTATTTAATGGAAAAACATTAAATTATATAGTGACTTCAAGCCATGTTCCCATAGAACATCTGTGTTCTGTAAGCTAAATCCAAATGTTCCCTGCTAAAATCAAATAATGATGCCCATATACCCAATTCAGAGAAAAACAATTTAATAAAGTTAGTAGATTGAATTTTCTCAATTTTAAAGTTTTCCACAATAAATTTTTCTTAAGCTTTTGTTGCCTATCACTTGTTTGAATGCTAGGAGAAAAAAAGAAAACTATGAAATATTATGCCTAAACGATATTAGAAAATTTTAAACTGTTGATCAGTTCCATATAATATACTGTTTATGGAAGTATACTTATGGTTTGCTGTTATACTCACAGTAAATTTGTTCCTAGTTCATATTATAGAACTCAATATGTAAACATTTTAATGAAACCAAAAGAGCATTATGAATTTTCCATCTGTTGTCCCTAAGTAGTTTGAGAATCACTACATCAATGTCTGGCTCTGAAACTATCTTTGCGATCTATGCCAAAGGAATGCTTTCAGATATATCATCAAGGATAGGCTTCTAAGATAAGACTACCAAATTCTATTCTAAAATGAAAAAAATATGGCAAGATTCCAGTACAGATGTTACTAATGTTCCCATTTTTTTCCTGAATACTTAGCATATGACTTAAGTATGTTGATATTAAGGATTTTTTATTTATATGTATCACTGTATTACAATTTGGGAAAATTTTGCAATATACTTTCAGGCAGTTAGCTTTAAAATAATGAAACTTCTTAGCTCTTAGCAGAAACAGCCCTGAGAACAATGCATTCAAATTACAGCTCAACTAGAAATAATCTAATTGAGAAACTTTAAAGTACAAAAACAAATTCTGGAAAAGTTGTAAATTAAAAAAAAAATTACCAACATTTGAGGCACTACCAAACTACAGTACTTTTAAGAGTTGGAAGGACTTTGTAAAAAGAACAAACATCCAAAGCTACGTGTGTACATGCACACAGTCACGTTGTGCTAGAATGAAAAACTGTGTCCCCAAATTTTATAGCCTGAACATTTTATTGCAGCATCTCTTCAAGATATCATGCTCTGGCTGCAGGACTGTTTTGGTAACTGTTATAAAGCATTGGCACAGAATTTTGTACCATAAATGCAACTGGATTCAAGAGCTTGGTTAGCAACAATTTCAAGTGACTGACAGCCCTTGGAGGGGAGCATGAAAGAAACATCATAAGTATGTTTATGATGCAAATGCTAAGTTAAAGCAGCAATGATTTGACCAATTTCAGAGGGTATACAACTTGGTAGGAAATAAGGTATAACAAAGTCTTCACAGTAGAAATAAAACATGTTGTTCTAGAAAGAAACAAATATTCCACTTGTTAATACAGTATTGTGTATAAATTGGTGAAATGCCTGCTGACAAAAATGGTATATCACTGTATAATCTACCAACATGGCAGCCTACATCCTACATTTGGCAACTTGTGATATTTAACATTTGCTACAAAAAAGTACAACAAAAACTAGGAATCAACTTTTAACATTTCTGATGTCAAAAAAGAATGAAGTCACTTCTGTTCTATGTTAAAAAATATGTTTCCCTGCTTCCTTTTAACACAATTTATAAAGCTTTACTAAATGAAATATTTGTTCTAGAGAAACATGTATTGACTTATGTGAAAATAAACAGTCCCATATCTTTAAAATCTATACTTATATGTCAGAAGAGTATTTACACTTCATTATAGTACTTAAAATGAAATATGTATGCATAAATAGGTTTTGCTATGGAAGGTATGAAGATGCATTATTATGATTTATATATGCTTACCTCACAATTGAAAATGTATTTATGTGAAGTTCGACAAGTTAGGAAGAACAAAGGCATGCTAATCCAGAATTAACACTAAACCAGCACGCTAGTTTGGTTAAATGGGGTCATATGAATGACCAGCAAGCAGCACGGACTGATGACTTTCTGTAATTCCTGTGGGTAACAATGCCAGCCAGTAACAAGTAAGATACACATTACAGAGTACTAAAACTCTAAAGCAGTAGAGACTTAAATGGAATATTGGAAAGAATTTAGCCTAATTCCTAATTGTGCTTTAGATGGGCAAAAGCCAAAATGTTAAACTAAAAATGATTAACTACAACCTCAACATGTCTTGTGCTTTAGAATTCTACTTGCATTTCTCTTAAAGTATCTTGCTTCTTCTCCAAATGGTTTTGCCGAGGCCAATACAAGATTTAAAAGTGTGCACCAATTAAGTAACTAAAACTTTGGGATCTTCTGTTCCTCATGCTATTTCCAGTTACCGATTAGATCAGTTACAGTATCATAGATGAAAGGAACAAAGGCCTTTCAGAAGTCAAGGACCTTGAGGGTATTATGTTACACGAAATAAGTCAGAGGGAGAAAGTCAAATACCATATGATCTCACTCATAAGTGGAAGATAAAAACAACAAAAAACATAACACATAGAGACAGAGATTGGATTGGTGGTTACCAGAGGGGAAGAGGGGAGGGAGGAGGGCGAAAGAGATGATTAAGCACATGTGTGTGGTGACGGATTGTAATTAGTCTTTGGGTGGTGAACATGATGTAATCTATGCAGAAATGGAAATATAATGTCTAGAATTCTGGAAATAAGATACATATGATCCAAAACACTGAATAGAAATGTGGCAGAAATGTCACCTATAACACTGTTTAAAATAATTCAGTTTATAGAATTCTTTTCTAGTTATATTTCACACCAATAACTGATAAGTACATAATCAGAAAAAAAATACATATACTTCTTAATAATTATCATATAAAGTAACTTTTCTTCCATGATTCATTTTCATTTCACTTTAGAAAAAAATGCACATAAATTTAACAAATGTTCCAAATGAATTTAAAGTAAGAATTTCCAGTTTTTGTCTGACAAATATATTAATGTCAAAATATCTACTTAAAAATGGTTGGAAAGGCGTGAATACTATAAATACCAACATTTTTTCAACATAATTGATAAAAAGCACTGCATAGTATCCTGTAAAACAGGTCACTCCTTTAAATACAGAGAGAGAACAAAAGTAAAAAGCAAAAACACAACTAGAAAGAAGCTTCCTATTTTTATGCTGATTACAAAGGCCTCAAATAAAAACCTATAGCTTTAACTAACTCTCTTTGCCACTGTCCCTTGTGTATTCTTTACAACCTGACTCGCTAATAGTCACCCAACAGTTCAAAGCGTCTCTGTCAACCACAAGCAGGTACCAAAATCACCATATATAAGGTTACATTAAGTCTGCCAACAATTTGGCAAAGAATAGGATGACCGAGGTAATACACGTGGCTGCACACGGCTACTAAGATAACTGACGCTTTTTGACAACATGATTTTTGTTTAAAGATTTGTGCTTGCCACACACAGGCTGAAACTGTGACAATTCCAATCCATAATCTACCAAGTCTGAAACTAACGCAGAGCTATTCAACTTAAATGTGGTACTTCAATACCACTAGATGCTACATTGCTTGATTCAAAACCCTGGTTTATTTATCCTTTAACTAAAATTCAGGAATGATTTGCTCAGACAAATCACATCTGCTGAAGCTATCTTATCTGTTTTTTGGACTCACATCCTGAAAACCACAGGAATGTTATAGGAAAGACACCTACAAAATTAAAAAAAGGAATTATACATCTTGATTATTTTTTTAAATTACTAATTGCCTGCAAAACTAACTCAGCACAATTTCAAAACAATTAAAAAAGAAATGAGGTTGCTTATGAAGGCCATAGCTTTGGTGACAACTTAGAACCAAACTTTAGATCTGCAGTTGATCCAGACCTAAAGTCTGCTCATGCCTGATGTTCCCATTTATTTGCAGGGCTTTATGGCTACAGCATATTCTTCACTCATTGCACACATGACAGACACCTAGAAGGGAAAAATGCAGGCAAAAAGTTATTCAGAAGGCAATACATATATAAGATACATTTAATTCATCATATACTAGATATTTGTGGATATTTTATACATATTGCCTTTGGAAAGAGGTGTTCCAAGACCAAATAATCTATTTTCTTTACAGTTTTCCAAAGTGAAATTTCTCAAATTGTGGTTTTTAAGACAACTTTCAGGGAACAGGGAGAATTAAGAGCTATAAATGGTTCAATACCTATTAGATGTTATACTTCTGAAAGTTATAACAAAGATAGAGTGAATTGCCTTCACTCTTTAGTGATCCTATAGCATCCTTTCTCATCCTGAAGAATAGCTCAGATGCTGATCTTCAAAACCAATTTGGGGTTAACAATGTCTAGGCAGCAAAAAATAAACTTTGATACTTTCTTTGGTAATGGGTCTCTAAGAGTATCATGGGAAAACTGCCTTATCTGGATCATTTTCCACATTTCAGCAGTATTTAAAAGCTACATTTCATATTTGGTATTTTATGCCAACTAGTTCAGGCCAAAGTTTTTATGAAATGGTTTCCAAAAACAATCTCCCCATAGGTCTTTACCTGTACATCTTCACCTGCATTGTACTTTCCTTCTATTTCTTTACCTAGCTCACCCTCTGGCAGCTTAAGATCTTCACGAACTTCACCAGTTTCTGTCAGCAGGGAAAGGTAACCATCCTGAATGCATATCAGCTATTAAAAGAAATGAAATCATTTGCACTGATTAGATTATATCCTCTCCTTTCTAATGTTTACATAGTTAAATTGCAATCCACATTAATTTGAATAAGTACACAGTAATACATGAATATATTCTTGGTGCTTAAAAATGCTAAACACATAAAACTATAAAATATGTATAGACTAAAAGTGTAAACTCATTCCTCTCTGCACTCCCCCCCACCAAATCTCTGCATTATTAAACAGTTTAGGCTTCTTTATAATGCATCCTGAACCATTCACATTTATGAACACAACACAAATATAGTTGCTTTAAAAAAAACATAAATGGGATAAGTGTTTTTCAGCAAGTTGTTTTCACTTAACATGTTTCAGAAATCTTTCCAAATTGGAAAATATCGACCTACCTTAGTCTCTAACCACTTCACAACTGCATAGATATACTGTAACTGATTTAAGCATTTCCCACCAATGGGCACAAAAGTTATTTTAGGTTTTTCATGATTACGAACAATGTGTTTTATAATTTGATTATGAACAAAGTTAAGTGGAAAATTTTGGGTCTCCAGCTCACTGCTAACAACGTTACATTTTTTGAAAAAGACAAACATTACCTTGTTGATGACATGAAAGAAACAAAACCTGCATCATCAACCTAACCTGCAAAAAGGCAGTTTTTGGTATCATTGAATTTTTTTTATTATTGGCAAGAGGAAACAGGCTGTACTCATTTATTCTAAAAGCATGTACACCATCAGCGTGCCTAGAATTCTAACAGGTTTTCTAAAAGGCAATTATCCAGAATACCAGATGCTAACACTGACATAACACAAACGGAGTCAAAGACGTGGTCCTTGACCCCTTTAACACTATGATGGAACACAGGCATTCTGTGGAGGTCGTGCAAAGCTCTCCTCTATGGCACCACCACATCTGGCTCTGGCTTTCCACACAAACCCCACCTACCACAGGAGATTTCAGTTTTTGCATGTCTAAAATCACAAAAACAAAACACCATCCTACAAAGTAACTGCACTTTTAACTAATCTTTACATCACTCAAACATTTGTGAGGTGTTTGGTAGAGGATTGGGAAGCAAGGAGTTAAAGCAGAAGTGTAATTTGTTTTTTCTTGTGAGGAAGATTAGCCCTGAGCTAACATCTGTTGCCAATCCTCCTCTTTTTGCCGAGGAAGATTGGCCCTGGGCTAACATCCATGCCCATCTTCCTCTATTTTGTATGTGGGATGCCTGCCACAGCATGGCTTGATAAGCAGTGCATAGGTTCGCGCCTGGGATCCGAACCTGCAAACCCCAGGCCGCTGAAGTTGAGTGCACGAACTTAACAACTATGCCACCGGGCTGACCCCTAGAAGTGTAATTTTTCTTTTTTTGAGGAAGATTGGCCCTGAGCTATCATCTGTTGTGAATCTTCCTCCTTTTTTCTCCCCAAAGCCCCAGTAGATAGTCGTATGTCATAGTTGTACATCCTTCTAGTTGCTGTATGTGGGATGCCGCCTCAGCATGGCTTGATGAGCAGTGCGTAGGTCTGTGCCCAGGATCTGAACCAGCAAATCCTGGGCTGCTGAAGTGGAGTATGCGAACTTAACTGCTACGCCATGGGGCCAGCCCCTAGAAGTGTAATTTTTAAACAACTAACCACAGGCTTACAAGTCAGATCTTTTTGATTTCCACTCTTTTAGCAATTTCCTGAAGTGGAATTTGTCTATTTCAAGAGTTAAAGGTTCCCATTGCCATTAGTGACTAAAACATAAAAGCCAAATAATAATACTGGTATTTTGGTATTTATTTATATCATGGTGGTATTTTATTTTTTAAGAGTTAAGAATTCATAAAATAAATTGTGGGTTAAAATATAAAGCATTTCTTTTTTTTTTTTTTTAAAGATTTTATTTATTTATTTTTTCCCCCAAAGCCCCAGTAGATAGTTGTATGTCACAGCTGCACATCCTTCTAGTTGCTGTATGTGGGACGCGGCCTCAGCATGGCCGGAGAAGCAGCGCGTCGGTGCGAGCCCGGGATCCGAACCCGGGTCGCCAGCAGTGGAGCGCGCTCACTTAACCACCAAGCCACGGGGCCGGCCCTATAAAGCATTTCAAATACAAAAATACAGGCATATTATAAAACACCTAGTAAAACAATGTGTTTATATACATTAAACATCTTATTAAAATAAATTGTTATATGAAATAAAATTAAATTTCTCAAAAACAAAACTAAGCTATAGAAAAATAAAATTAATGAAAACAAATTTTTTGATCTTCCTAAACAATTAACAACATTTTCAGATATACAGAAAAGTTGCAAAAATAATGCAATGAAATCCCATATCTTTTACTTAGATTCACCCATTGTTAACATTTAACCATGTGTGCATTTCTTCTCTCTCTCTGTATATATGGAATATATAAAAATACCTATCACACACATTCTTATTCTTTTCTCATTTTTACTGAACCATTTGAGAGAAGGTTTCAAACATCATGACTCTTTAGTAATAAATACTTTGGTGTATTTTCCCCCAAAACAAGGGACATACTCTTATATAATCAGGGTTTATTTTTCAAAATCAGGAAATTCAATACTGCTAAAATATTATTCAATATACAGTCCGTGTTCAAATTTGCCAATTGTCCCAATATTGTCCTTGATAGCCACTTTTTCTTCCCAACTCGAGGATCAAGCTTTGTATTTATTTGGCTGTCATGTCAGTTTAGTCTCTTTTAATTAGAACAAACCCTTTGCCTCACCCTTTGTCTTTCATGTCATTGACATTTTTGAAGAGCACAGGTTTACTGTATTGTAGAATGTTCCTCAGTTTGGGTTTGTCTGATTGCTTCCCCATGATTCAGGTAATCCACTTTGGGAGGAATGTTACATAAATGATATGTCCTCAGAGTATCACATCAGGAGGCAAATGATGTCAATCTGTGCTGTTACTGCTGATATTAACTTTGATCAGTTGGCTAAGGTAGTCTCTGCCAGATTTTTCCAATCTAAAGGTACCATTTTCCCTTTTGTAATTTGCAATCTTTAAAAAAAAAAAAAAGCTAATGGTGTCATTGTCGAGTTTCAGGCATATTTTTGTGTAAATTTTTCCATCTTCTATCAAAGCCCTCTCTTACTCTATAGAGTTGGAAGGTGATGATGGTGAGGAGACACTTTAAGTCAATTCTAAATATTTCCCTCTGATCCTTTACCTTTAAATAAATCTACTCATTTTATAACTTTAAGATGCTTTTGAACTTTTTTCTTTTTGGTACAGAGAGTAATCATTTTGTTAATAGCAAGCAGGGAGATGGAAGAGGGCAGGGTCAGAAAACTCATAATACAGGTATTAGGCATGCAGTAGTGAACCAAGCTGCTGAATGACAAATGAAATTATAGCATACCTCAAAAATACTGGTACCAGAATGTGGTATCTATTATTTCTTACTAAAACGATCCAATGTATGGTGCTATTTCTCTCCAGAGGGTTCCTTGGAAAAATGGCTAGTTCCAGGTCCAGAGTTGGAAGTACAAAAGATGAACCTGGAGCAAGCTGTTATACTAGAAAGCATGGTGCTATCAAAGATCACTAGGCTCATACCAAAGCGACACAGGAGCTAACCTGAATAAGGTCCTTCAGGCCAAAGATAGGACAATTTGAGAATCAACAAGGATCATAACTACACTGGATTGAAACACAAATACGTTTACATGCTTGAGTTCACGGTGAAAAAAACATTTCATTGATCATCTTTAGTGGATACTAGGGAACCAACTCATTTCAAAAACTGGTAATTAAAGGGAAGGAATCAAGCATTTATACTGCCTTTCTTATTATATACTGTACCACAGGATAAACGAAAAAATTGATGAAGGGAAGTTTCTCTTTATAGAACTTTTGTGGCTAACAAAAAAAAAAAAGAAGGTATGACAGATTATTTTGTCTTTCCTAATAAATTAATGGACTGAGGCAACTATCACATATCTAATAACATCACAAAAAGAGAAACAATCAGACTTATTTACCCGATGGTTGCACAGAACATCACCTACAGAGTAGTTCTTGTTAAAGAACGAAGAGGACGAAAATAACAACCTAAACTAAACCTGACCAAGCCTCTGCATGTAATTATCAATTTTCAGGAAATATATGGGAGAGAGGAATGTGTTAAACAACAAAGAAATGCAATTAGCAAAGTACAGACTGTGGGCAAGTCTACAGAACAAATGATCTAGTTTCATCAAAAAATTGGAGAGAGATCAAGATGGAAGAGAGAAGAGAGAGAGAGACCTCTAGTATACGTATGAGAGAGGGGAACCTATAGATTAAAATAAATTTAAGAGATACATTAACAATTTCAATTTGTGGACCTTATTTAGGTTCTGGTTTAGACAAAGTATAAAGCAAAAATAATAACCATCACATCCAAAAAAGCAAAAAAAACCCACAAAAAACAGGCAATTATGAAAATGTAGATATTGATAGGATATTTGAAAATATTAAGGAATTATTAATTTTTTAAGTGCCATAGTGTATTTTGATTGTTTTTTACAGTTATCTTTTAGAAATGTATAACAAAACATTTGCAGATGAAATGGTAAGTGATGTAATATCTAGGATTAGCTTCAAAACAATCAAGAGGTAGAGGGTACAGGAAGAAAAAATAGGTGGTGGGGTACAGATGAAACAAGACTGGTACATATTGATAACTGCTGAAACTGGATGATGGGTACATAGGGTTCATTATATTTTGAAAACTTCCACAATAAAAAGCAAAAAAGAAATGCTATGGCATATCAGAATTCTAGAAGGAACACTGTAACCACTGAATGGTTGGAGGCTGAGGAGGCAAAGCATGAACTGAAAGGAAGGATGTGGGGAGAGTGGGTGACTACAGATTCCGTCCATGATGTGGGCACAATGAGAAAGAACACTGAAAGGGGGGAATTATAGGGGAACTTTTTTGGCCTGTATTTGCATTACTGGTATACAACAGAAGGCTAG